TAGTAGTGCAGCTAACAGAGCTTTCGAAGCTACCCAACCAGGCATAGGGTATTCCTACCTCATTATTACAAACAATCTTCGACTAGTAAGTCATCAGGTTTTGACGCAGTGACTTACAACACAGAAATTTATGGGGAGTCATGTATCATCAGGAAGGAGATTAAAGCCAGAAGTTATCCCTACAGCTGCACGATTCCCCACAACCAAAATCACTAACGAACCGCTCCCTTTCGGCCTCTTCTGTATCATACGTCGTAAATCTGGGAGTAGATTCTTAGTTTATACTGAGGTAGATGATAGGGTAATTCCAACTATGGCAGAAGAGCATCTGCGGCTAATATCTCCGCGGTTACGTGCAGCCAATGGTCCACCAACCACAAATTATCATAGCAGGACTCAAGATATTGATTTCAGAATTAGGTGTTACTCAAGTCTCAAAGTCGTGTGATTACAATTGATATGATTATGAACAATAAATTTTGTTCGAAACGTCATCCAGTGTATAATACAGTTTCACTGTGTGATATATCTAATAAACAAACGAATATGGTATTATAATGAAAAGGGAGTGAATTTTGCGCGCTCTTGTTTAGTTTGGGCTTTTGTTGTGTTATACGCTCCAAAAGTCTACAAATTAACTTTAAATCAGTTTATTCTGATCAAAGTTAGTTTACTTTTCAGATCTGAGTCTATCTATATTATAGGAAATTGTGTCTTAGAACATAATAGTTTTATATATATTTTTGTGCACCCACTGATTTTTATCACTGATTTATAAAGGTCTATATACATCTAAGTTATATTTAAATTTCTTCGCCAGTCCGTTCTAGACAGTATGCCCATCAAAAAAAACCGCTGCGGAAGGGTTATGTGCCAGTGGATGAGGGAATGCAGTGTGATAACTGCAAGAGATGGTTTCACAGTATGTGCACAAACCTAACTCCTGCAGCATACAAACGCTGCTGCAAACCTCTAGCAAACTGATTGTGCAATGACTGTTGTAGTACTACCAAACTCCGTATTACAGAAGCCGCTGCCACTCTTAGCGGGGCTTTAAAGCTCATGGACTGCAAGGGTCTTCCATCACAGGAGAAGACTGACTACTTCTCAGACACCGAAGATGCGACTAGCGTCATCGACAAAACAGTACATGTTCCTAATGAGTCTTTGTCAATGACTGAGTGCTCTTCAGTACAGAAGAGCACTCACCACATTCCAGACACCCAGGCTGCCCCCACGATACTGGATAAGCCCTCCAGTGACAGTGACGGAAAGACTGCCACAAAGAAGAGGCGTACCAGGGGTCGTAAACTTGCAACTCAAGTCACCCAGGTACTAGTGGATCAAGCCTCATCTACACCGGTGAGTAGCAGGCAGATAAATCCTGCTACGACTAGTGAGGAGAACGCCAATGAATGGCATAACGTAGTCTCTCGCAAAAAGCGAGATAAAGACAATACACTGGCCACGCTGCCCACGAAGGACAGAAAGACATTCACGCCGCAGAGCAAGAAAGCCACGGCAAGCAAACCTGGTCTCTCTGACAGGTCGCTCATTCTCCACAAAGTGGAGGAGTTACTGGCCCCCGAACCCAAGACTAGATTTGAGCATGACCTTAGCTTGGTTAAGCCCCTTTTAGACAAGCTACTGCCACAAACAGTATCAGGCATTACTATACATGGCGTATATAGAATAGGCCAAAAGCCTGACCCTACAGTAAGTCAGCCAGTACGTCTCCTCAAAGTCGTACTAAACTCTAAAGAAGAGAGGGATGCTATACTAAGCAACTCTTATACACTTAAAGGATCAGGCATATATGTCCACGCCGACTTAAGCCTGGCAGACCGTGTCAAAAGACAGTCTGCGGCCCTAGAATTAAGCGAACGACACCGAAACGGCGAAAAGAACCTTAAGATTAAGGGTTTTCGGGTTGTTCAAGTTCGCAGTTTAATGATCCCAAAACCTCTGTGGGTAGGCCGGGGAAGCACCAAACTGTATTAACAGTTTGCTACACAAACGCCCGCAGCCTGTTAAATAAACGGACTGAGCTGGTTAACATGATAGACTCCGGAAACCCGGATGTAATTATTATCACAGAGACATGGCTCACACCCGATGTCACTGACAGCGAAGTTAACCTGCCAAACTTCTAAGTGTATAGGGTGGACCAACTAAACCGCAAAGGAGGTGGCGTAGTCATCCACCTCAATAAATGCTTAACCGTGCGTAGTATCGAAGCATTCGCTCACGAAAGTGAGTCGTGCGAACTTCTACGCTGCAGACTTAAATGCATAGGCCAAGACATTGACCTCATTGCTATGTACCGCAGTCTTGACTGCAGTGCAGATGACTTCCTGACAGAGAAGCTAGGCTCCTGGACCTCGAAATGTCGAAGTCTCGTAGTTGGCGACCTCAATGCCTCAACAGTTGACTGGACGAGCCTAACAACTCCATCCTCAGTCAACTCCTTTGATTATAAACTGCTGGAACCTAGTATATCGTTAGCTCTAGTCCAACATATCATCAAGCCCACGCTCTATGACTCACAGCACTCCTCCTCAACTCTGGATCTAGTGTTCTCCCATGGTGAGGATGCAGATCTCATACAACATCTTCCTCCTTTAGGAAGAAGTGACCATGCTGTGCTCACTTTCAAGTTCACAGCAACGGCAGCAAGGGCCAAAACCCCATCTCGACCAAACGTTTGGAAAGCGGATATAAATGCAATCGTCTCAGCAGCCAACTCAGTAAACTGTTACACCAACCCAGAGTCTCAAGTAGAAGCCGCATGGAACCAATTTAAACAACTTTACGCCAAAGTAACTGAACCTTTCATCTCTTGGTCTGTCCCAAAGGGTCGGAAACACTGCCCTCCTTGGATAAACCGAGAGATTCGTGAGTTACTCAGACGTAAACACAAATGTTGGAACTTGTTTGCCACAATGAGACTTCTGAGACCAGGCATTTATATAACACTGCTAGAAATAAGGCTATTGCAGAAATCCGCCAATCAAGGATGAAATTCGAAGCACACCTGGCTCAAAATGCAAAGGTACAACCCAAGAAAATTTTCTCGTACATGAACTTCAGGAATAAAACATCCAATGTTGTCTTAAACCTGACTATTGACAATGATACAATCGAAGAAGATCAAGAAAAAGCAGAAGCAATGGCAAACTACTTCTCCCAAGTCTTCACTCAGGAGTCGTCACTGCCTATAGGATCAGCTCTGGCTGCATCAGAAAAACATGGGATAGATTCCGTTGACATCGACCAAGGCATCGTGCTCAACTGCCTAAAGAAACTAGATGCAGGGAAATCAATGGGTCCTGATAATCTTCACCCAAGGCTTCTCAAGGAGTTATCAGCACACATAGCCGGCCCTTTGACTACGATCTTCAAACTTTCTCTCCAAAATGGAGTGTTACCGCGTGACTGGAAAGACGCCATAGTAACCCTCATCCACAATGGAGGATCAAGACAAAGCCCTTCAAATTACAGGCCTATCAGTCTCACCAGCACTTTAATTAAGACACTGGAGAGAATCATCAAGAAAAGCATAATGGCATATCTAGAAAATAGAAGCTTATTATCAAGAGCACGGCATGGCTTCCGAAGGAACCTCTCATGCCTGTCAAATCTTCTCACTGCAAGAGAGGGCTGGGTCAAATCCAGGGATAATAGAAGACCCGATGACGTCGTCTTCATAGACTTCAGCAAAGCCTTTGATAAAGTACCTCACAAAAGACTACTCATGAAGTTGGAAAATCTTGGTATCAAAGGCAGCTTACTAAACTGGCTCAGGGAATTCCTCATAGATAGGAGGCAGAGGGTTAGGATCAACTCGAAACTCTCCTCTTGGACAGCAGTACGCAGCGGAGTGCCACAAGGCACGGTACGTGGACCTCTCCTATTTATTTTGTATATCAATGAGTTATCTCTGCTCACCGACTCCCTTATGGTCCTATACGTAGATGACTTAAAAATTTGGAGAGAGCTGAAGGGCAGCTGTGACACGTCCACGTTGCAAGAGGACCTCAGCAAATTGTCAGAGTGGTCCATAGAATGGATGCTCCCGATAAATGTGGCAAAATGTGCAACCATGCGCATTGGACAAGCAAGCACGAGCTCTTATGAACTAGAGGGAATTACACTTCCATCAGTTCAGACTTACTTGGACTTAGGTTTCATAGTTAGCCACGACTTAAAAACTACAGCACACTGTCGCGCGGTGACTGCACGTAGTTTCAGGTCATTATGGGCAATTCGTAGAGCCTTCACTAGAATCACCTCCTTATATACATCTCTGGTGAGGTCAAGACTGGAAAACTGCATCCAGGCCGCCAGCCCTTGTCTAAAAGGGGACTCACTTATTCTAGAAAGGGTTCAAAGGAAAGCAACACGTATGATTCATGGCATGACTAACTTATCATACGAGGAAAGACTAGACAGTTTAAATCTCTTCTCCTTATCATACCGTAGACAGAGAGGAGATTTAATCACAATGTTTAAAATTTTAAATAATGACTACGGACCTGACCTATTTTCTCTTTTCCTTCCCACCAGGTCAGAACACCTTAGAGGACATAGCAGGAGAGTTCAAAAGTCAAGAAGAAATCGTATTGATGTTGAGTACTGGTTCTCACACCGAGTCATAAACTCTTGGAACCGACTCCCAGAAGAAGTGGTGTCTGCAACCTCAGTTGATTCGTTCAAGAAGGGTTTGGACAAACACAGAAATTTACTAGAAAAGGATTAACATAGGCTCCAAGCCTTCTATCCTCAACCAACAAATCTGAATCTGAATCTGAATAACGCGATTTTAAACCGGTATACATTGCCATTATCAAGCTCCATAATAACGAGAATACCAAATAAAACGTTTGTCAAATCCAAATTGCAGGCAATCACAGTAGTCAGTTTGTCTACATGGAGTTCAGGAGACAATTTAAATGTGCTTTTTTAGTCAGACAGACTATTTTACTTAGGCATTGCGATTACGACGCGTATAAGCCAAAATTGATCTGTTCCGTGAAAGCTGAATTTTATATGAAGAATTCACTTCCTAGAGGCAGACGGCGGAATTTGGAAACAGTCGTGTTCTTAGACTGAAAGTGTTAATCGTACTTCTTCAATCTGTGTGGAACAGAATGCACTTCACATCCAAACCATTGAAAAGTGAACAGTGTCAAGTTGTCAGTTATTGTATTTGAAGACCGGGTGAAAGAAAACTTCGCGCTTCGCGAAATGACAGCCGTTGATTCTATCGACGCTCTAAAAAAGGACTTAGAGTTTGCAAAGGAGAAATTAAAAATAGTAGATGATGATATCAAAAGGATAACAGGTCGAGATCCGTCTGAGAGGCGGATAGGTGAGGCAAATGCCAGACGCATGCGTAACCGAAATGTTGGGAGTAATACTACAAGGTTTGTTTCACGTTTCACAGTTTAATAGAAATAGGCCAGATGCATTGGACAAGGTAACCGACGATGAAATGTAGGTTCATGTTTTGCTAAATAAGAGTTCTGACTTTAGCTTTCAGGATGTGAAAAGATTAATCGATGATGACTTAAGGGTAGGTTCAGGTTCATAGCCCAGTATTTTCTGCTGTATCATCGGTAGCCCGAGTTGTTGCTTTGCTTATGAGTTGACGATAGACAAGATTTTGGATTTGTACTTTTGCCAAGAGACTTGCCTGTAAATATCTTTTCTATTGTAATATAAACGTCGTTTTAAAACAGCTAACGGTCTATACTATTAGCGAAAGAGCTTTATTCTGATTTGCGCTACCTCCATTTAGATAAATAGCACTGAAGGCGTCATCTTCCGAACCTATCCCAATGTCAAAATTAGCTAACTACTAATTGAATTTCAAAGAAAAACTAATAGTGGATGTGGTTCTATATAATCCCTGCAATGTCCTAAATTCCTAATATAAAGTTGCTCAAAGTCTGCTCAGCTCAAGAAATTCGGCAGACTGACGATGTTCTATTGATAAATAGTTTTGGAGATTTGTTAATATCTCACACCAATCCACGCTGTCAATGTTTTTACATAAAAATTTTGAGAAAACCTAGGGGTTGTTTTCGCCCTACAAGATTAGTGCCAGTACGTGTAGAGCAACTGCAGAACAAATCCTTTAAGTCTGTTGTAGCTTTCAGTCTTGTTTACACTAGTGTGTAAGCAATTATTTGCGAAGCAGCTTAACATGTACAAATGTATTTGAGTTCAGTGAAATGCAGATAATATGCTTGTTCATTACCTAGAATGCTGTTATTATCATAAAAACTTTTATAAAACATGACATATTCTTTAAAGGTGTTCGGAAAACACTTTTTCCCATGGTTTGGAAATATATGCATTTGGTGGCAAGCACATACTAATACCAAACAGTCAAGTTTTCTCTCTCAATGTTGAATCTATTATTCATCAGAATGATCTAGGATTAGTATTCTTTGACTGTTCTGAATCTCTTTTATTAAATTCAAATAAGTCAGGCCTACTTTTAACTCTCGATTATGTTACTGAAGTTATTTGTTCATCTACAATGCACAATATTAGTCCAGAGATTGTGAAGAAACTGACGGAATTCAAAAATTTCAACTTGCCTCCTAGCTTTTACTTGTTGGTTTTAAACTCTTGTGCACGATATATCAAAACATGATGTCAACCCATTTTTAAATTATCCACTTCACATGGAAACGTTAGCATTTGAAAAGTACTATCTGCATATGTAAAAAATTATATTTGTAATATCTCAGCGATATTGAAATGAGTAATTCTCACTCGGCGCCCAAATATTTTAGAACTATTCGGTCAAATCTTGATGACAGTTCATTTGAATTGTACTGTCTGCATACTTCCGGAAGCAAAGCCCTACTCACTTTCGACACTGTCTTCATAAGCTGATGTTACAAAAATTATGGCTTCTGGGGTGATCTTAACTTCTTGAGAAACGTTTATTAGTAGGAACTCGATAAAGTAGAACATTATTTCTCTCTTAAATGCCACACATCAATTTTGGCATATACGCGTCGTAATCGCAATGCCTAAGTAAAATAGTCTGTCTGACTAAAAAAGCACATTTAAATTGTCTCCTGAACTCCATGTAGACAAACTGACTACTGTGATTGCCTGCAATTTGGATTTGACAAACGTTTTATTTGGTATTCTCGTTATTATGGAGCTTGATAATACATTCACATTGATACTGAAGGCAGGTGATGATCTGCCAGGTTAAAGAAAGCAAATAAATCTGTTCAGTGAGTGACAATCCCTTCCACACTGTGCTAATCACTACGAGTAAAAAAAGTGCTGAAAGTGAAAGGAATTGTAATAATAGTGACACCATGCATGACTTTCCCTATTTAGGAGATCCAAGATCATCAATAGTTAATAACAATTCAGAAAAATAGTTCATTATCATCTGAGGGAGGCATTCATTATTATATCCACTTTACCGTTTTCACACTTATGCGAGTTTGTTTCTCAACTTCGCATAAATTAACTTGTATTTTGTCATTCTAAAGTTCATTCAGACCCTGCTTTTTTCTGTCTGTTTTTCAACTTAGTATATCAAGTTCAGCACAAAATAACTTAACAACTCCATCTATAATTGTCTTCAATCTCAGATATTTGTTTAGTATATTGAAATTACTCTTTGTACTACATTCATTCGCTCATTTTAAGGTTTCTTCAGAAATAGGTAGAGAAAATAATGATAAACATGTGCAATGGTTATGCAGGATGGAGTATTTACTCTGTAAATCGCGCATCACAGAATCCTATGGGGTACTGTGGTGAATCCACTAACCTTCTAGTAGTTGTTTCTAGATTTCTGTAGTTTCATAGTTGACTTATTTTACACAGTATTATTCGTTCACTGTGCTAGAGTTTATCAAAAACCTAGTATCTGATCTTCTATAATCATGTGATCCCTGTAATAAAACTGTTTTCTGACCCCCCTAACTTTATTTCTGTAGGTCTCTGTTGCCTCCTCTGTCGTGCGTGTCACCGACACCCGTTCTCGGCAAGATGCAGCAAAAGAACTTAAGAAATCAGACAAGGAAAGGTAAGAATTTCGTCATTGCGACTAGTTCTTTTCCTTTTATGTAGCTACATACATGTTGAACAGAAAATCTATTGTCGTATGTGTACACTACTTTTACTGTTTATTTGGTATACTCACATTGGCTGCAGTTCAATTTATGCATACATTTTTGAGGCAACTTCCCAGATAAGTGAGGTGGTCAACAAGCTCAGCTAATTCACCCACCAGCTTTAAACTAGGAGTCATTTCTGATTAGTTCTGTTATATCATCTTACAAGTGAAAAGAGCGAATTTCATGCGAAACTTCTTAAGATTTCTGCTCAAGATGTTCAGAAGATTCTGCATCTTAACAGCGTCTTCATCTAAGAGTACTATATCATCCACATATTTTAAGTCAATAAGACTTAGAAATTGAAAGAAAGAGAATTAATTAATGTAGTCACTGAACTGAGTAAAACAAGATTTTCTCTTCAGGCGTTACTTTTTTAAACATCTACTTTATATCAATAAGATAATAAGTGGACGACACTGTTCCTGCGTAACATTTCGATCCCTAAGATGCTAAAGTCAATTAAGGTCATACCCATTAGTACATCTGTGGTGAGATCAATCAAATTCGGGGACTTTGGGCATCACTGATGGGCACCACTCGTTGTCACTACTTCAAGAGACAGATCTCTGTGAGTTTTTACACAGCTGCGTGAGTTCGAATGTCTTAATTAGTGAGATATGTCTTCGCGTCACTCCTTTAAAGGTCAAGCATCACTTATCACCTCTCGGGCAAGGGAAGCGAATGCTGCCTTCGGGTCAAGAAATATGACGAGTGTTGGCCGCTGGTATATCTGTTTCAGAACATGTGGGAGGGTGAGGATGTGATCCATTCACCCCATCCTGGCCTTAAAGCCAGGATTTATTTCTTCTGGGTACCGTGTACTCCACGCCTAATTATTCAAACGGGAGTCTTAGATGCTGTATTTATGAAGCTTATTCACCTATGATTATCACAGGGAGACTTGTCTCCCGTCTTATAAACTGAGACAGTCAATGATTTTCACCAGTCTGATGAAACTTTCTGATTCCCAGACATTACCTAATATCTTAGTCAACCCAGGCAATTCTTCGCCACCGGCCTTGAATTTATTCATGGGGTCCTGCTGCCTTACTTCATCTTAGATTGGAGACAGCCTTTGTAAACTTCAGTTGCAGTCGGAAGGTATCCAATTTAGGTAGGTGTTCGCTGATGGGAAAGTTGAATGTGGTTGTAGACCAGTTACTTCATATATCCTTAGTGTTCCCTCCAACATTCCAGTTTTGTGTTCTGAGGGGTAATTGCAGCACCGCTTTTTTCGGAGATTCTCTCGCTTATTTTTTGTCTTTTACAAAATATTCCCCTGGTAAGCCTTAAAAGTCATCTGGTGTCAACTACTGACTAAGCATTCTCCATCTCTTCGGTTTTTGTGTTACCCTTCAAAATAACTCCAGTGTCCGAATGGGGGCCGACTTATTAAGATGACTAAGTAGTTCTTGTAATCCCAAACTAGAGATACGGTGGCGATGATGTTCGCAAATATCTTGATGGGACAGAAGTCTTTACGCATAAATATGATTTGATACGAAAACAGAGGACTTCAAATAAAAATACAAGCTAATCTTCAATTGTTATTCAACCTTATCGTGACTGGGTTGTAGCACTTTCCAAAATTAGTACTGTAGGTTGTCTGAATGACAGTATAACATGTCCAGATTAGCTAATATGAAATCTTAAGTTTGGTCATGAGCTGATATAAGCCACTAGATCGGGTCCCAGTGTTTGAATAATCATGACCTATACACTGGTGAAGAGTCTCAAATCGGAATAAAACAGTTGTCTTGTGATTTTTAGTTTTCGATGATTCTCCAAATAACTTGGTTAATTTAAGGTTGACATTTAAACTTACTTACCGAGGATTGGCGATTGTTTCACATTGAAAAGGTACTCAAGTAGGTCAGCGTATCTCCATGGTTTTCGTAAAAATTTTGATTTTCATGGAGGGAGAGTGGCAGCTGGAACTGCTGCACACCTGTGCAAAGTTCAACGTTGAAAGCGGTCAGTCAGTCAGTCACGCAGACAACTTGGCATAGGAGTTCTACTTGAATCACTCCTACAGTTCTGTTCAGATAATCATTTGTATCTTGTAAGCACTAACTTCAAACACAAGGAGAGACACTGTTTGACCTGGCGACCCCCATCATCAAATCAACGCTGGACACAAATAGACCACATAGCAATAAGCTATCGTTGGCGTGGGTCGGTAGGAGATTGTCGCTCCTTCTGGAACACGTGTGTAGATACCGATCATGCACTGGTCCGCGCTCGTGTGTGCTTACGACTGAACGGACGTAGGAAACAGCTGGCGGTAAACCCATCACGTCTCCAGCTCGACCAGGGAACTAAGTCCCTATTTGAGGAAGAACTAGCTAAACACATATCTGAGTTCGACAGCTGCGCTCACCCTGAAGAAGCCTGGAAAAATATTCAGTCAGCCATAGATACAGCTGTAAAAGCTGTGAATAAGGCAAATCCAAAGGTGAGTAAAAACCATTGGATTTCGACTGCCTCATCCGAACTGATAGATGCTAGAAGACTTATCCCGGCGAGCTCCGAATTCAATGAGGAGCGAAAGCTGCACAAAAAGAAACTTACGAAAAGTCTCCGCAAGGACCGTGAACAGTGGTGGTTGACAAAGGCGAAAGAGATGGAAAAAGCATCGGCGATAGGCAACACCAGACAACTATTCAGGCTTATCAGGGAAACAGGTGGTAAAAGGCAAATGATAAGCGAAACAATCTCCGAGAAAAACGGCACCATAATTAGCTCCCAGGATAGACGTCTGGAGCGCTGGAAAGAACACTATGAAGAGCAGTTTAATTGGCCCACAGCCACACTTAACCTGCCGGACATCCAACACCTCCCTGAATGGGAGATAGACACAGGTCCTCCCTCCTTAACTGAGGTTACTAAAGCTGTCACCAATCTGAAGCTAGGCAAAGCAGCGGGACCTGATTTATTGACTCCAGAGGTATTTAAGTACGGAGGCGTCAGTTTACTGTCTGCGTTAACGGAGGTTCTAGGCAGCGTCTGGGAATCAGAGGAAGTCCCATCGGGTTGGTGTAAGTCACTGATCATCCCGATATACAAGAAGGGAGACAAGTCGTCTTGTGATAATCACAGAGGGATTAGCTTGACTAATATAGTATCTAAAATCCTAGGCTCAATAATACTGCGTAGACTAAGTGGTGCTCGGGAGACACAAACACGAGAAAACCAGGCAGGTTTTAGGCCAGGTAGAGGGTGTATTGATCACATCTTCACCCTTCGACAGATTCTAGAACATAGGCATTCCTACCGGCGTCCGACAATCACTATATTTCTTGACCTAAAGGCGGCTTTCGATTCTGTCGACCGGGAGGTTCTCTGGCGATGCTTGGCTGTAAAGGGAATGCCGAGAAAATACATTGCACTGATTAAGGCACTCTACTCGTACTCATGCAGCCAGGTGAGGGCTTATGGCGAGTTGTCATCTGAAGTGGTGACGACTAGTGGCGTCCGTCAAGGATGCCCATTATCCCCATTCCTATTCAACTTCATCATAGACGTACTAATGGACTTAACCCTAACTCACTTCAGCGACTCAGGGATTGACTTGCTACCAGGGAATAATCTCGTTGACTTAGAATATGCGGACGATATAGTCCTTCTAGGTGAAGACGCTGACAAAATGCAGAGTCTTCTGAACACCTTGAGCAACAATCTTCGTATGTTTGGCATGCGATACGCCCCTGTAAAATGTAAGATGATGCTGCAGGATTGGACCTCATCGACCCCTAGATTAGAAATAGGAAGTGAAGCGGTAGAGCACGTTGACCGCTTCACTTATTTGGGAAGTACCATCAGCCCCAACGGGTTGATCTCTGACGAAATTTCAGCACGAATACAGAGGGCTAGGTTCGCATTCGCCAGTTTTCGCCGTCTCTGGCGTAGACGCGATATCCGACTATCGACCAAAGGGCGTGTGTACTGCTCAACAGTCCGCTCCGTCCTCCTTTATGGGTGTGAGACCTGGCCATTGAGAGCAGAAGACATGAAAAGATTAGCTGTCTTCGATCATAGGTGTCTGCGTTCTATCTCCCGCGTGAAATGGTATAATAAGGTGAGCAATATTGAAGTTAGGCGTCGAGTGCTAGGTAAGGCGGGGAAATCAATCGACGAAACGGTGAAATTACTTCGACTGAGATGGTTAGGACATGTGCTACGTATGCCTAGTCATCGCCTTCCTCGACGGGCAATGTTAGCTGATATAGGGCCAGGCTGGAAAAGAGCTAGCGGCGGTCAAACGAAAACATGGCACCAATCAATGAAATCTACAACAGCTAATCTAAGCCACGTAGGAAGATGTAGACTTCCTGGTTGGGGTCCTCGGGACGGTAAAAACCAATGGTTGGAAACAATTGGTGACATGGCTCAAAATCGTTCTCAGTGGCGCAGATGCATCCACTCCTTGTGACTTATGATTTCCAATGAAACTGTTTTGTTCTCCGTTATTACTATTCCTTTGTCTCACACCTCTGTTTACTGTTTCCATTATGCATTTCTTCTACTTCCTTCTCTTGCTTTGCGTGCTACATAGATTGTGGCGACTTGAACTGCCGCACATATGTGCAAAGTTCTATGTCGAAAACCGACCGACCGACTCCTTGTGTTTTGATTTTGCTTTTTGAGAAATATTTTGTGTGTGGCGAATGCCTTGAGTAATAATATTGTAAAAGACATACCAAAGGCAAATTTTATTTGAATGCCAATTTGTAATCGTGTGTTAGTGGCTAGTTGGACAGTATTTTTTTATTTTTTTTCATTTTTGGTTACAGCTTGATACTACACCGTATTTTCAGTACAAGTATGGCATTTTCAGCATGGATATCGGTAGCCAAAATTTTACAGGCCGACCATAGATATCGGGTGTGCGTCGGCAGGGGATCGAACCTCGGACCATGTGCATGGTTGGCAAGAGTCATAACCACTGTGCCACCGACGCACCCATCATCACCTTAAATCTTATCGCCAACTGAAACGACAGTAGGATAAAAATTGACCAAAGTGATATGACAAGGACAGCAGTACTTCACGAAGTTTGATACGACTATTTTTAGATGTACAATGAGTCACAGATGGTTCCTGAGAGATTTTGTGTGAAAAAGTAGTGATGAAACACGGTTGAGGTGACTCAATGGCACCCACGCCTAATTCTCTCTATAATTTTTAACGCCTTAATATGGGCATCCTATCCTCTTTATTATTTTTGCCCATTTTTAAGGGTTTACCAGTAATGGAGGGGGGGGGGAGTCAAAAGGCGTATTATGTTAAACCCTTTGTTATGTATAACTTAAATGACAACCCTTAAATGAATGCGTAAGCTTCAACAAAAGCCTTTATTCGTAGGATGTGCTTTCCAGGGCAACCTTAATAACCGGATTTTCCATTTGATAGAGTCGAGTTTAACTTGGTAGGACGTAATCGTCGTGAGACTCAAATAACCATATTCATATTCCATAATCTGATGTGAAAGATGGAGATCTATGGTGAATTCTCGTGCAATTTTTTAGGGTAGGTAAATTTTGCACACTTGCTGTTTTTCTTTTATCACAGTGTTTGTGTTGGCCAACAAATTTTGTCCAATATACTATACTGTTTTCGTGCAAAAATGTATATTGTTAGCTAACTGCCTGATTTAAACTCGCATTTTCACTTAATAGTTCCCTGGTTCGAATCTTGCACAACCTACTGTAGCCTGAGCAACTGGATAGTATTATTAGCCGTCACCCAATAAGCGCGTAGCCCATTCATTAGCCCAGTAACGGGTAACTGAGTCCTAACTAATCAACCAACATACTGATTAGTATTTAACAACCGCATAGCTTCACTCTGGTTGAGGTTACTGAAGTTTATCTTCAAGATCGGCAGGTTGGTTGTGCACAAGTTTCTGTTTCTCTCAATTAATTAATTAATTAATTTCTTCGTTATTTATTAAATAGAGGACGTCGTATGCTTGGTATCCTTCAAGGAACATTGAAACAGTTTCAAGCTGAATCTGCAGCCGCCGTGAAGAAACCACAGATGGAGAAACGACGTCAAATTGATGCTAAATTAGAAGCTCGTGAGAGAGAAGAAAAGGAGAATCTACGTCGTGAACGTGCTGAACTATTTCGCGCCCGAAGAGAACATCATATTGAGGTCAGCATCTTGCAACAAAAGATGAGAATATTAAAGAAGGTTAGTTAAATAAGTGTAATAATCTTTTGGTGTGGGTAAACAGCTTCACTTCTGTATTGTTGAATTACATTCACATAAATTATCAACGCCTAATCGACTTGACATGTAGAGGTTTGCACGGTCACGTTCTTTTATTTAACTTGTCAGAAAAAAGAGAACACGAAGTTCAGCAAAGACATCTTTTCGGTGATTTCATTTTCAAAAGCTGCACAATCGCATTTAAATACATAAATTTACATAGATACAATTATTATTTGATTCCACAAAATTACGAAGGCGAATAAAAAGGTGTCAATTATTTTCAACTAGATATGGTTTACGAGAGGCGTAGAAACAAAATTACACAGGGGTGAACAAAATGAGCATGGAAACAAATTGAAATAATAATTTTCAACTTGAAATGGAAGTTAGGAAGTGTGAATATAGACTACAAGAGGCTTAGATACAAAAATTACACAGGGTTAGAATATAATTGGTAAAATAGTTATTTTAAACGAATTACAAATGTGAGCAGGAAGAGCATGGAGACAAACTTAAAATAACTTCGTATAACTGGAAAAAAATGGGATGAATTAAATGAAGAAAAATCCCACACAGCGAAAAAAACAAAGGCTAAGGGAACATACCGAACTAGGTCTATGGTAGTTGTAAAGGTTGGACTAGTTTCTTTTGAACACACAGATCCGGCTTTTCGATGCATGTTGCGAGGACTTCTGCAGTACAAAAAAGTCGGAAACATACTGACTTTGGTAGGTTTCTGTTTACTTTGTAAGCAACTTTGAATGAATCAGTTGAGATGCTGTGGGAAGTGTTGATCAGATGTTCAATAATGGCACTTCTGATTGAACCGGTGCCTCCTCTTTGCAGCCACGCTGGGTAATGTTCTCTAACACGTTTTTAAAAGGACGCGTATACAACGACCTATGTACCTAGCTCCACACGAGCAGGTGAACTGGTATATGCACATTGAATTGGTCATATGCGAGAGTTTGTCTTTCGCGTTGTTTCGAAGTATTGGACGGTTAGAGAATGTCACTCTCAGTGTTGCTGCAGGGAAGGTCTTCTTTAGAGATCTGGATATTCTCTTAAGGATATCAGCTGCCAAATCTCCCATGAAGTTCAGATGCATATACAGAGTTTTCTTCAACGCTGAACTGCATTCTTCTCTTTTCGTTTTTGGTTTCATGTTCTTGTCGACAAAACGTGCCGGGTAACCATTTTGAACTAGGATATTTTTGAGGAATAGGAGCTCTTCTAAGCAATCGCTGCTGCAGATTTTTCTAATGCGGTGAGTTAGTGCGATGATGAGAGCTTGTTTCTGTCTATAGACGTTCGTTAGTTGGCCATTCCACGTTGGTTTTCTGTGGATGGATCTCTTCAGAGTTCCATCATCTCTTCTTGTTAATTCCACGTCCAGAAATGGAATCTTTGAATCTTTTTATAATTCCATTGTGAATTTAATCGAAGGATGGGAATTATTAAATTCTTGTAAGATACAATTGAAGTCGGAGTCATCGTAGCAGACTATAAAGGTATCGTCTACGTAACTTTTGTACAGTAATTTGTTTATTGTTGATTTTAAAACGCCGCTTTCCAAACTAGTGATACAGCAGTTTGCTAAAAGCGGGCCAAGAGGAGATCCCATTGCGATTCCATCTTTCTGTCTGTAGATGTCGCCGTTGAAGGTAAATTGTGCATTCAGCGTGCATCCCAGCAAAAATTCTTTCCAATGCCTACATTCGAGTTCTCCATATAATTACACAGGAAGCAAGTTGTTTCTGTTAGTGGCACGTTGGTAAAGAGAGATTCGACGTCTAGGGATAACATTAGTTTACCATTTAGATTCTAACATTTTATGCATTCAACGAACTCAAAAGTATCACGAAGGGAGTACTTGCATAGGTGTTGTCTTACAGGCTCCAACATCTCAGACAGCCATTTGGCAACTGGATGGATTGGGGACCCTGACATGTCTAGAATTGGTCGACGTGGCAACTCGAACTGCTGCACCTCGGTGCCAAGTTCTATGTTGAATCCAGCAGAATTGGTCGAAGTGGTAAGCCAGGTTTGTGTACCTTTGGTAAACCTGAAACCGACAGGATCAACTATTCCCCGACTCTACGGCATTACAAAGGTACACAAACCTGGCTTACCGCTTCGACCAATTCATATCAAGTTGAAAATAATTGTCACCTTTTTATTCGCCTTCGTAATTATGTGGAATCAAATAATGATTGTATCTATGTAAATATATGTATTTAAATGCGATTGTGCAGCTTTTGAAAATGAAATCGCCGAAAAGATGTCTTTGCTGAACTTCGTGTTCTCTTCTTTCTAATGTCCTAATCGGTATTCTCGAGGATATTTAATTTGTCTTTCAGTTCGTCTCATTTCAGCTATGAATATTTGAGACACTTTTCATGGTCTGAAGCATTTCTATTCAGTGCAAGTATTTACGTTAGGTTAGTTGTTATATGCATCCAGGGGGGTTTCAGGCGCACAAGTTTATGGCTGATTGGTTTAAGGTAGAACTTAGCACAGATGTGGAGCAGTTCCAGCTGCCACTCTCCTTCCATGTAGCACACAGAGCAAGATAAGGGAGTAAAGAGAGATTCCAGAGAGAGAGAGAGAGAGAGAGATGATAAAGTGGAATGTGAGGCAAAAAGAACAGTAATTTGGAGGGAAAATCGAATTTTATTGGATATTATGAATCACAAACAGTGAGTGCATCAGTGCCAGCCATTGAGAACGATGATTTTGAACCATATCACCAATTGTCTCCAGCTCTTCATTGGTTCTTACCATCCAGAGGACCACAACCAACCAGGAAGTCTACACCTCCCTACGTGGCTAGCCTAAGCTAACTATTATGGGTTTCACTGGTTGATTCCACATTTTGGTTTGACCACCACTAGCAGCTCTTTTCCAACCTGAGTGGTCTTATGTCAGCTAACATTGCCGATCGAGGAAGGCAGTAGCTAGACATGCATACATAACACATGTCCTAACCATCTCAGTCGGTGTAATTTCACAGTCTCGTCGATTGATCTCCCCGTCCTTACCTAACACTTGACGCCTAGCCTCAATATCCCTCACTTTATTATACCACTTCACAAGGCACTTATGATCAAAGATAGCTAGCCTTTTTATGTTTTCACAAATTTATGTATAGTGCTGTGATGGATATTTGACGCATGTACAGTAATGTTTAAAGTTCGTTTGTCCACTAATGTGTCATTTGGGTGGAAGTCAGTATCTGTTTGATCCTTTCGATGGTTTGGTCCTTTGGATAGGTTATTCCACACAGGATTAGTTTGGGAAAGTGTGAAAGGTTGTCAAACCAATACTTGGGACCAGTGGATTAAGTTTTGCTACACTTGGTTTGTGGTTGCAATCCCCGGGATTCTAAGAAGCAATGACTGGAGTCTATGAAGGATGTAGTTGGAAATCGTTCTGAATGAAGGAGATGCTTTTCCCTGTGATCCTGCATGTCCACGAAACCGTCAATTATTTTTGCGTATTCCGACTGTTTTCGTTGACATTTCTGCTTATTATTTATTACTACTGTTATTATTTGAATCCGATTGTATCTCTCTTTCTCCTAACCTTGTGTTCTGTATGGAGTGTGTCAATTTGATGAACGACTGGATTTCTGTGCAGAGTTGAGTGTTGTAACTCGGTCATTTCAGGAGAAGTTAAGAGTGAAGCGTTTAAAGCTGAATTCATCAACGAATGTTTAAGAATCTAATGTCGTGTGGAGATTCGGCTGACTGGTAAAATAGAAAGGTTTGTTAATAATGGCGGTTGGCTTCGAATTTCAGTCTAACTACGCGTTGTCCTGACTGATCGGGTAGTGATATCGTGTAGTGTCACACATAAATTATGTAACTCCTGTTCTAGTAGATAAACGTGCATCAGCTTGTCAGGTCGGTCGGTCGGTTTTCGACATAGAACTTTGCACATATGTGCGGCAGTTCAAGTCGCCACAATCTATGTAGCACGCAAAGCACGAGAAGGAAGTAGAAGAAATGCATAATGGAAACAGTAAACAGAGGTGTGAGACAAAGGAATAGTAATAACGGAGAACAAAACAGTTTCATTGGAAATCATAAGTCACAAGGAGTGGATGCATCTGCGCCACTGAGAACGATTTTGAGCCATGTCACCAATTGTTTCCAACCATTGGTTTTTACCGTCCCGAGGACCCCAACCAGGAAGTCTACATCTTCCTACGTGGCTTAGATTAACTGTTGTGGATTTCATTGATTGGTGCCATGTTGCAGTGAATAGTATGAGAAGATTTGCACAAAAGGTTTAAAAGATGCGCTTGTATGTGATCTTTTGGTTTTGATACTCAAAGCTAGAATTCTTCATCACTCTTCAGGAGGTGTGTTACCTTTATTGCAAAACTCGAAATGCTTTGGGAAAGATAAATTTTTGTATTTTTTTCTACCAAATCTCATAAAATTGTTTGTTTTTCTTTCAACCTGTTTTTATTTATTTATTGAGTTTGAGACATGGAAAGAACAACAAGAAAAGATGAAAGGTTTTTGTCGGACTTCCAAACCACCATATATATTCTTTCGTCCGAAAATTCAAAATGAAGAGTCTAAATGGCGTATGGAAATGACAAGTCGTGCTATAGATGGTCAGTAATCTTATATGAATGCCTTCATAATTATTACCATAGTATTATTTATTATTTTTTATTTAAACGCAGAAAAACTTGGTACAATATGGCACCAAGAAGGATGCGCCACACAATAATAATAAAACAACATAGATTAAAAGTGAAAATATAGGTAGAAAAAGGATAAAGAACTTCATCAGGAAGGAAAACAGTCATGTTTAACAAGTTCAAACAGTGTTCGTTAACTATCATCAGGAAGGGAAGAAAGAAGGAAATTGCAGCACGTTCGCCATTGATTACGATTCTTGGCCATATCCGATAACGTTTCGAGCCATCGATTTGAGCTATCTCGCGGACCCCAACCAGGGAGTCGTGACACACCAACCGATGCTAACCTAGCACAAATATCCTTCATCCCACGATGCCACGTCATGGGCTGACCACCCCTCCGCCTTTTCCATCCCGTCCCAGGGCTAGCGAACAGAAACCGGTACGGAAGCCTCTGGGATGACATTCGCAGCACATTTCCAAGCCACCGGAGCTGGTGTTTCCAGATGACAACACTCAATGAATGGTGATCTCCACTGTGTTCAAAGACACGCCGCCGAACCTCAGAATTACTCACGCGATGATGCCATCGAACGCAAGCAATCCTGCGGAGACAGCGATGTTCGAACACGCAGAGTCGCCGCACATTCTCAGCTCGGAAAGGCCAGGTTTCACAGGCGTAGAGCAAGACAGCCCGCACCGAAGCATTGTATACCCGACCTTTGACAGCCAGGCTAACGTCGCGACGGCGCCAGAGGTGGCTCAAGTTGATGTATGCTACCCTAGCTTTCATTATACGGTTGGAAATCTCATCCGTCACCCCTCTGCCAGCACTCACACAACTACCCAGGTACACAAACTTATCAACAACTTCAAGCGGTTCACCCGCAAGAGTGGGCGCAGGCACAGCCTCCTGCCAATCTTGTAACAGTACTTTGCACTTAGACGGTGCAAAGCACATACCATACTTACAGACACTGATCGCCAACTGATTAAGTGCGATTTGGGCAGCCTGCATGCTATCGCACAGTAAGACGATATCGTCTGCATACTCGAGGTCGAAAAGTCTATTTCCAGGTAGCAGATCTACACCACCTTCATGCACATCCTTCAGAGCTGACTCCAGAATGTCATCGATGGCAAAGTTAAAGATAATTGGAGAGATTGGGCAACCCTGTCTAACCCCACTGTTGGTTGGGAACAGTGATGATAGTTGGTTGTATGCCCTCACTCTACCTGAGGTGTTTCTGTATAGGGCTTTCAAGATGTTAACAAATTTCTCAGGTACACCTCTCTCTAACAGACAGTTCCAGAGCACAGTTCTGTCCAACGAATCGAAGGCAGCCCTAATATCAAGAAACACAACGATCGTTGGCCTGCAATACGTGTGGCGGTGTTCCAACAACTGACAAAGGGTGAACACATGATCAATGCATCCACGACCTGAGCGAAACCCAGCCTGCTCTTCGCTCATCAATCCTTCACGTATTTTGCACAGCCTGCGAAGCAAGACAGCAGCCAATAATTTAGACGCGACTGGTAGCAGACTGATACCCCTATGATTGTCACACGAATTACGTCGACCCTTTTTAAAGATAGGGACGATGATGGCTTCGTTCCACATTGATGGTACACTCTCAGTTTCCCATACCTTCCTGAACAACCCAGTTAGAGCCATTGTGAGAGTCTCGCCACCATCTTTAAAAAGAGCCGGGGGTAAATTGTCTGGGCCGGGCGCCATATGGCGTTTTAACACTTGGAGTTCCTTACGGACCTCCGCTTCGGTGGGTGGGTCGGTATTAACCGACCAAGGAGCACTGGGGCTAATGACAGCAGACATTGAAGCTGGTGGCCAGCTAAACTGCTTCCCGAAATGCTCTGCCCAGCATTCCAGGCGTCTTTTCAAACTGGTAATTGGTGTGCCATCTGCCTCACAGACCGTCTCGCTGACACCTTGTTTCTTGCTGCCGGTGGCTCGGATGAGTTGGGACAGCTTCCGACTGTTGCCAGATGCAGCAGCTGACTCCATCTCGCACTCACGTTCTGACCACCAGGCCTCGCGGTCCTTACGTAAACACTTTCTTATCTTGCGCGTGAGCGCCTTTCGCTTATTGCTGTATTCGCCGCCAGCCGGAATGGACCGGCGTTCATCCAGGAGTTGCAAGGAACTCGCAGAGACCCAGTGGTTTTTGGAGGAGCATTCCTTCAAGCCGCAAGTGGCTACACTAGCTCTTTGCATGGCACCTTGCAGATGGAGCCAATGTTCATATATACTACTTGGGGGGTTGCTGGCAAGCATTGATTGTAACTCATTCTGATATTTCAAACAAGTAGCAGGTGCTACTAGTTTGCTCACATCAACGTTTAGACGACGCCTTTTACGAACCCCACCAAATCGCAAGACGAACTTGGCACACACTAACGCATGATCGGAGTTCAGGCATGTGCTCCAGAAGGAGCGACAGTCTTGTATGCATCCTCGCCACCGGAAACTGACCGCAATGTGATCAATCTGAGTCCAAGCTTGCTTCGCAGAGGGAGGAAGCCAGGTAGCGCTACGGCGATGGTTGTGCCGGAAGTTGGTGCTGGCCAGAAATAGGTTGTGATCCGCGCAAAGCTGCAGAAGACGGTCCCCATTATCTGACCTGCGACCATGTAGTCCCCATTGACCACCTAGACGATTCTCCTCTGAGCTCAGACACCCGACCTGTGCATTCAAGTCCCCGGCCAGCACTACGATATCCCTCCGACCCGCCTGTCTCAAGAGATCGTTAAGTTGGTGGTAGAACTCGTCCTTCATTGCATCCGGGCTGCAATCTGTTGGTGCATAGGCAGAGACAACAAATAGACACCGCCTATCTGGCCTACTACTCCTTACTTTCGTGTAACCTTCCAGCCTCACAGCACATAAACGACTGTCAATGGGAATCCAGTCGAGCAGTGCAGCTTCGGCTCTAGCGACGCCGACACTAGCTACGTCGGATGCCGACGCCACAGGGTCCCCGGACAAGCGCAGGTGGTACATACTACTAGAACTTCCAGATGGAGAGGATAATCGAAGCACTTCACTGGGATCTTGAGTGCGAGTCTCCGAAATGCAGCAGACATCGATAGCGAGGCTTTCCAACGTTCTTACCAACCCTGCCTGTTGTCCGATTTGCATCAGCGTCCGAACATTGTAGGTAGCCAGCTTGAACGCAGCACGCGGTTTCAGGATATCTGTGTTAGATGTCACATTGGGGACAGCCATTTTGAGGGTTCCTCACTAACATCTCGAAACGACACAGATAGGCTAGGAATCCAAACAAAGGCGAAAGGTTGTCGAAGGTTAATAAGTCAAGGTGAGCAAAGGTAAAATACAGGAGACTAAGTATATAAATAAAAGTAAGGTTGGAAAGAGATATATCAACTGGGACATCATTATTGCTTGAGAGCATTGTTAAGAGCGCGCGATGAGTTTCACTGATAGTTTGTTGCTTCATTTAATTAATTACCATAGTAACCTTACAATGTTATTGATTTGATATTTTTATATTATTCTATCCCTTTACGATGTTCCAAGCGGAAGATGGAGGAGAGGGCGGGCTTGAAGCTAGAGCTGTTAAGTTTCGGTAGCAGTAGTTTTATTTTTACGTGAGGTGAGGTTGCTAGCCTGACGCCGAACTCTCCCTCTTTACGGGCCTAGAGAAGTTTAGGAGGTAGTTCGTCAGCGGATAAATTGAAACCCTGACCATGTGAGGCATTGTTAGCAAGCGTTCTGCCTCTGAACCTTCGACACACTATGGGGTTATTACTCACTCCTCAGCAGAGCCAGTCTGCACAAAGTAAATACGAAGAGTGAATGGAGATTGTTATTTATCATCCGTAACTGATTTTCAGTAGTTTGAAGAATTAATTGTCAGGTACTGTGTTGTTGTGGTAGGTAGCATATACAAACAGACAGACAAATGAATGACGGAGTGTGTGAGGCTAAAGTGTGTGTGCATCAGCTGAAGTGACTACACTTTGTTTGTAAACTGACACATGAAATGATAGAGGATAGGACAGATGTGATGGTGATAATAATACTGGTAAGTAGATTTATTCTGGACAGTGCTCATAAAATGCACATAATTTTCAGGAGAATTTATTGCATAATAAACTCTCTCTGTTCGACATGTTCAAGTAAAAAGAGTGATTGTTGGCATGGTAGGTAGATGGCGTGACGTAGAGTGTTGTCTGACCGCCTGAAGGGACGGAAACTAATTCCTTATGCTATTTCTCTTTCTTCTTGTCTGTCTCCCTGGAGAAATGCACAAGTTTTGGTTTTGGAAGCCAACTGAGAAGAATACAGGAGTTAAAATTTCGCAACCCGAATTTTGCATAATTGAATGATTGATATTAGTTAGAGAACCACCGAGAAGTAAGCGAGTACCCAACATCTGTTTCTTCATACTATGGAAATCTTCATCAGTATGGTTTAATTCGTGTTATAGAGGTTGTCATTTAAGCTATACCAGTCGAATCTTTCAGAATTAATTAATATAATGACAACAACAACAACAACAACAACGTTATTTTCTGTGGGGTCATGTAGTGATAAGTGTCATGAGTGTATTTTTATGGAGATATTATTGTCTATATGTTTATTTTTCTTTTAATGTACACACTCATGATGTAGCGCTTATTGAACGTCGCCGGAAGAAACTTGATACAGAAATTGAAGAAACGCTACAGGCGGCGACACGTCGTCGTTTACCTTCAGCTGTTAATGATCTATCTGATAATAATAATAGTAATAGATTGAATAAAATTGATGGATCAACGGCGAAAAGCGGTCGAAATGATTTTATGGATGGTGATGCCACTAATACTACCAATACTACTGAACGATGGTCCCCATTGAATAAAATAACAATGGAATCTAAGCCTGATAAGTTGAACAGTTTTAAAAGTGAACCTTCATCTACCTCAAACCATCATCTATCAAAATGTGTATCAAATAAATTCTCAGATAATAGCTATAATAGTAATAATAGAAATAATAATGCTCATCGTGAAGATTTAGAAGCTGGTGAATTATCCGATGGTGGTAGTGAGACATTCGCTTTAGGCGATGAACCTCAACTCATAGAGGAAGATCAACATCAAGCTGTGTATACAGAATCTTCACAACACAGTAGTGAACAACATCAACAACGACAAAAACGTCCCAGTAATCAGTTATCACCAAGCAGTAGTTCACTACAAGTTTCTGCTAAACGCAAGTTATCCTCTGTTGATGAATCCTATGCTCCTCCATCCCGTACTGGTGATAATAATAATAATAAAAATGGTGATGATGATGATGATGATACGCCTAAAGAGAAAGGCAAAAGACGATTTGATCTCATTGGAACTGATGTATTTTAATTTATTCAAGTTTATACTTCGCCAAGGTTTTCAACACTCTTATTTTTTCCTTTGCCCCTCCCCCCGCCTCATTTTTCTTCCTTTCTTTTCTCCCACCTGCCATCCCTTTATAATCATCTTCCACATCCTTCCATCTGGAGTGTGAGGAAGTGTAAGCATGTATGTATATTAATATCCTTGTTTATTTCTGTCCATTTCACTTGTTTTTTTCCTGTCTAACACCACAGCGAATTATCATTATTATTGAATATCTTACGAAGATGTGTTTTTCTTTCGTAAGCTTTGTATTTTAACCCGGCGTAATATATCGTAGTAATTATGTGATCATTGTATTTTAGTCTTTTACTCTTTGTATGGGATTGTTGGAAAAGTAGTATGATGTTATTTATGTAAACTGTGCACGCTTCCGGTGTTGTTTGCCTGTGTGTTAGTTTTTTTGTTGTTGCTGTTAAAAGTTATGACCGAATGGTGTAAACGTTTGAAAGTTAAACTTAATGTTTCATCATACAAACACAGGACTACAGACGTATAAAGCCTTGAAGTTTCAGCAAATTGTGTTGTGGTGTTTTACTACTGGGTGGTGGGATTAGTACCTTTACGTCAATCCTTTCTTCTTTTCCGGGATTACTGTTGGATATGGCAGATCACAAAGAGTGAATGCATCTACTCCATTGAGAACGGGGATTTTGAGACATATCACCAATCGTCTTCAGGTCTTCGTTCGTTCTTACCATTTAGAGGACCCCAACCACCCAGGAAGTCTACACATGCCTACGTGGTTGGCTGAGACTAACTGTTATGTTTTTCATTGGTTGATTGTATGTTTTAGTTTGAGGTGGTTTTATGTCTGCTAACATTGCCGATCGAGGAAGGCAGTAGCTAGACATGCATACGTAACACATGTTTTAACCGTCTCAATCGGTGTAACTTCACAACCTCGTCGATTGATCTCCCGTCCTTACCTAGTACTTGACGCCTATCCTCAATATTGCTCACCTTATTGTACCACTTCACATGGGAGATAGAACACAGGCACCCACGTTCCAAGACAGCTAGCCAGACTTTTCATGTCTTCCACCTTCAATAGCTATATCTCACTTACAACCATAATGAAAGACGGAGCGAACTGCTGAGTGGTACACATGTCGTTTGATAGATAGTTAGCCGGATATCGCATCTACGCCAGAAATGATGTAGGTTAGCAAATGCCACACACACTTTTTGTATCCGTGCTGAGATTTCATCACCAGGCACTCTGCTGAGGCTGACGCAACTTCCCACAAGATAAGTGAAATGGTCAACATGGCATACCACTTCATTCCCTATCTTTAAGCTAGGAGTAGTCGGTGCAGTCCAGTCTTGTAGCCTCATCATCTTACATTTAACAGAAGCAAATCTCATGCCAAACATTTGAAGATTTCTGCTCAAGGTGTTTAGAAAACTCTGTTTTTTTATCAGCGTCTTCACCTGGGAGGACTATATCACCTGCACATATAAAGTCACTGAGATTACTACTTGGTAAAAAGTCAATCCCTCAGTCGCTAAAGTCAGTTAAGGATTAGTCCAGTAGTATATCTATGATGGAATTAAGTAGATGTGGGTACAGTGGGCATCCTTGACGGACACGGACTGAGAATACCGGGTTGTAGTGCGACGGTGGTCAACCACGAATATAGTCTAGGTTTCGATCCCCGGCCGACGCATTTCTAAACCTCAGTAAGGCAGGTGTATAGGGAAGGTCGGGCGTGAGACCAGCAATCTCACCCATTGAAAATAAAACCAGTGCTACGAAACCTCATGGCTCAAGCCTTGAAGCTCTACATTCCACTCAGAACGTAAAGGAATAAAGTGAAGTAATAATGATAATTGACCTAAGTATCTGATGTCTAAATTAGCGCCACCTATTTCTGTAATCCACTGTTTGGGTGGGAAGGGGGCGAGGAGTGATCATCTCTGCGTGCGAGAATAATTGTCTGTCAACCTGATTTCTAATGTTTTTTCCCTTATAACAGTAATTTAGCACTTGTTACAGAGTGTGATAATTTCTTTTGATTGAATAATTCGACTATCTGAGATATTTATAGGTCAGCAGGAGACTATTATTGACTTAGTGGTGAGTGACAGTTGGAGGCAGAATGAATATCTGGACCGTGATAGGATTAGAACCACCAACGACAACGGAATAGCTAGCTACGCTATGAGAGTTACCTGGGTTAAACAGGTGATTAATCACTACATGTGACGCCCAGTCAGCCATCATGTGTTATGTGGTACTGTCCGTTTGTCATATGACTAGCTGATTAATTAGGTCTTCTCCTTTTGAACGGTAATCATGGTGAATCAGAAGGAGAACAGTGAGAGAGACAGAGAGAGTGAGCAGGTTGTCAATTTATGATGAAACTACATAAAGTAGTCTAGGGTCAGCAGACTGTCACTGATCGATGTAATGAGTCGTGACTGGAGGAATAGTTTACATTTGAGTATATCACTTCAAGGTGGCATCCATCAGAAGATCATAAGAAAAGTTTGAGCGGAAACAGAATGATTTTGGTAGAAGAGTGTTTCAGTGAGGGCATACATTGTGCCCCAGACAGTGTCATTTACTGTTAGCTGTTGATTCTTACTTAACATTTCATTCAGTCGTCTGTAACCAGTGTGTATCCTCCTACCTATCTGAGACCAACAATCGGATATTTGGTTAACTTTTAGGGCGCTTTTCGATTTCAGCTTATTTCTTTTTTTTCTGTAGCTGCTTAATCTAATTATCATAAATACCATTGCTTGTTTCTAAAGACCGATTGCTTGATATTCGTGGAGTATCTGCACAAAATAACCGTTAACAACGTCGGAGGTTCAGCGGTAGAATGCTGGTCGGCCACGTTTGTGGTTCGATTACGATCCCCGGACAACGAACTGCTAAACGTGGTTTATTCGGTGGTAAGGTCGGTAAGGAAGAAAGATTGGGTATAAGGCTAGCAACCCAAATCCTTTAAAAAAAGGGTACCACAGCCAGTAAAACTTCAAAGCTCAGGCTTGAATTCTTGTCTCCCACTGGGAATACACAAATACTAAGTCGCATCATCCTGGAGAGAATAAAGGATGCATTGGATACAGAAATCCGCTCGCTGGAACAAGCTGGATTCAGGAAAGGCAAATAGTGTGCTGATCAAATTGCAACTCTACGCATCGTCATCGAACAAAGCATAGAATGGCAGTCGAACGTCTACCTCGACTTCATCGACTTCGAAAAGGCCTTCAACAGACAGTGTGGACCGAGACTTAATTTGGAAACTACTTCAACACTATGGCGTACCTCAAGTCTCTATCAAACTCATTCAACAGCTATTTGACAATGCCACGTGTCGGGTGATCCACAATGGAAAACTCAGCGAGGTGTCCGATGTGAACAGAAGAGTAAGGCAGGGCTGTCTATTATCACCGATGATATTCTTAGTTGTGGTGGACTGGATTATGCGTCAGACTGTACTTGGGAGGGAGGAGATAGGAATACGCTGGACCAGCGATAAGAAGACTCTAGAAGATCTGGATTTCGCAGATGATATATGTCTAGTGTCACACAAACTCGAAGACTTGCAGGCGAAAACCAACAAACTGGCTGAAGAGGCTGGGAGTGAAGTCAGGACTGTAGGTGAACATAGAGAAGATGGAGGCGATGAAGATAACCAACGAACAGCAACAACCGGCACCAATCACCATCAACAGGAGACATTTAACAGAGGTTACTTCCTTCACTTATCTAGGAAGCATCGTTCCAACTACAGGCAGTGGTAACGGATGAATATGTCAAAGCCAGTCAGAATCGGAAAGGCAAGATACGCCTTCACCAACCTGAAACCAGTTTGGAAATCTTCTACACTCAGCATAAGGAACAAGATTTGGATTTTCAACACCAACGTCAAACGGGTCCTTCTATAGTAGTCAGAAACTTGACCAGCGTGTCACGAAAAGGATTTCCGACAGGTGACAGACTTTCGTCAATAGATGCCAACTTCGCTCCATACTGAAGATCAAATGCTGGCCAGGAAGAATAATCAACAAGAAACTATGGGAGCAAACCAACCAAGAGCCGATCGCTCAACAAATATGTAGGAGAAAATGGAGATGGACTGGTCGGGCATACATTGAGGAAGCTATCGAATGTCATCTCGCCACAGACCCTCGAATGGAATCCAAATGGGAAGCGACGATTGGGTCGTTCTAGGATGACATAGGGGAGATCGTGTGAGGAAGAGATGAGAGATTATGGGCAATCGTGGAACCAGATGAAGAGAACAGGAGAAAAATAAGAGAAAGCGGAGATGTGTTGTTGAAGCCCCTATGTTCTACTCGGAACCCAAGGGAAAAATAATAATAGTAACTGGGAACGCAAAGGAATGAAAATGATAATAAACAAAGTCTAAGATGAACAGTCAAGTCGTCATCACAGTTATGGAATAGACAACAGGAAATTGGTAGAAGTAAGGATCTCTGATAAACACTGTTGATTGTATTTATACCTTATATGAAGACTTATATTCGTTTAAAAAAGCTTTTAGTACAGATAACCTTTGTGTGCATAGAATTTACCAACTAGCTCATCGGTTAACTGAAGCATATTAAAGTTATATTATAGTTTTATTTTATTATTGTTATCATTATTATTATAAAGTGTTCCACTCAATCTATTGTCCTTAATTTTCACAAGTTTATGTGTAAATAATACCATGAAACACTTTCAATACTATTATTGATTATATTTCTGAGTCTTTAAATGTGTCCAGACGAAGAAAAAAAGCAGTTTATTAATTATTCTTGTTAGTTATAATTTATTGATGTGGAGGCTGTGAGTCACACTTGGTATATATGAGGGTTAATCATACTATCCAGACTGATTTAGCTGGATTGGGATTCGAATTAGGTAACTCAGTGATTTAAACTCCGATTCCAAAAGCTTATGGTCCTCTCGTCTGTTTTAGTTATTCATTTAGGTATACGTTCAAAACAAAACCGCTCATACAGGTTTGTTGGCACTCTTTATCAAGCAAGGTTTATCTGTTACCTTGAAGGAACTGATGTTCATTGTGAGATTGTAACCCGTGTCACCTAGTAGTGCTACATTTAGAGATGTCACCACTGAGTATTCGGGCTAACGATCGATGATCTCCTGTAGGATTGTGAGGGGTCCACTGGCTGGTCATCACTAGGGTGTTAGCCAGCGTCAGTTATCACCACACCAGAACTAGGGAATAGACACGTAACAAATGGCTACTCCATATTGACTAGTCAACGTAAACCCGTAATCTCTCGGAAATTACTTACCAAACAGTGAAGAAAGACTGATGATTCTATTTCTGATACCTTTTCATCGGTAGTAAATATGTAAAGAAGTATGTATATTGATGGGTTAGGAAGTTAACTAATTACATTGATGAAATCACACAATCAAGTAGAACATTCATTGGATTCAGAGGGGGTCGGATAAACGGAATAGAAAAAAGATGGTCAGTTAGAGGACTATTCAGCCTGAGGTTATGTTATGTGTATGTTGTAAGAGCGATGAAAGTGAATTAGTCAAGCCTACTTTCTCGGATGTCAATATGAATCTCTGTTGTAACATACCCTTACACCATTTACCTACTTATTAATATAAACTTAAACATCATAATGTTGTTGAATAAGAATATGTAAGTTCCCTCTCTCTGTAATTTTCCATTTTCAGCATAGTTATCGTAGTGGATAATGAGTGTCAATATGGCTGCTTCATCTACGCGAAATGATGGTGATTCAACAACTGTTAATAATAATCGTAAAATTATATTGAATCGTCTAGCGGAACGTCATGCACAGACTAGTGCTGTGAATAGTCAAAGTAAAAAAGCTTTAAAGCAAAATGAAGATTCGGGAGAGTCTGTGAGTAGTGACAGCGTGGCAGCAGCAGCAGCCGATAAGCATATGGATTTTTTACAACAATTTCTACAGTGTAAAGAGACTATTATTAATGATTTGGAAAATACTATTGATAAAATTCATACGCATAACTTACCGATAAGTGAACGTACACAAGTAGGTATTCTCAATAACTATATCTTCATTGCACAGCTTTGAAGTGTTGTAATATATTTTTCTTGTGTAGCATTTGAAAATGACAGTTGTTGTTCTTTGTTTTTTTTTACAAATTATTTTAATTTGAGTCGTTTGTTTATAACCTACACTCTGGCTATATGATCATAGGAATTATAAATGTTCTGCAGAAGGATACAAAGACCCTAGAGGATCTGGACTTCGCGGACGATATATGTGTATTAGTATATTATATTATTGTTTCCTTTAATTCCTAGAGGAACATAGGGCTTCAGCCGCACGTCTCCATTGCGTTCAGTTTTCTGCCAACGTTTTCACCTGGCTCCACATCTGCCCACATTCTTTCATCTCCTCTTCACATGACCTTCTCCATGTCACCCTTGCACTGACCACCAACTCACCGCTTCTCATTCGGGTTCCACTCGACCAATGGCCTGGCGTGTGATGTCACTTTTTTGATGGTTTTCTCAGAGTATGGCCAATCCATCTCCATTTCCTCCTGCTTATTTGTTGCACAATCGGTTCCTACTGGGTTGGTTCGCTCCCAGAGATCTCTGTTGCTGATCTTTTCTTGCCATTTGATCTTGAGTATTGAGCGAAGACAGCTGTTGGTGAAGGTCTGTAGTTTGTTCGAAGTGGTCTTCTTGACACGCCAAATCTCTGATCCGTGTAGTAGCACTGACTTCACATTGGAGTTGAAAATCCGGATCTTATTTTTGATGCTGAGTGCTGTTGATCTCTACATAGACTTAAGAGTAATGAAAGCTTGCCTTGCTTTCCCGATCCTTGCTTTGATATCCTCATCAATTCCGCCTTTTTTTTCAAACGATGTTTCCCAGGTAGGTAGGTAAGTAGGTAGAGGAGGTTGCTTCTTTCAGATTTTTCCCATTTATGCTGATTGTTGTCTGTTGTTGTTGTTGTTGCTGTTGCTGTTAGCCAGGAATCTTTATCACCTCTGTTCACCTGAAGTCCTATCTTCGATGCTTCTTCTGCCAACTTGTTGCTTTTCATTTGCATATCTTCCAGTTTTTGGGAAATCAGACATATATCATCGGCGAAGTCCAGATCCTCAAAGTCTTTTGTGTGGGTCCATTTTATGCCTGCTTCCTCGCTGCCCGCCGCTGTCTGTCGCATTATCCAATCTACTGCAATCAGGAAAATCGTTGGCAGCCTTGTCTTACTCCCGTCTTCACTTCGAAGGATTCCTTGGGTTTCCCGTTGTGGATTACTTGGCATGCAGCATGGTCCTACAACTCTTGGATGAGATGTATAATTGTCGATGGCACCCCGTAGTAGCGAAGCAGTTGCCAAATCACCTCTCGATCGACGCTGCGCTATCGAAGGCCTTCTCAAAGTCGATGACGTTGAGATAGGTGACTGCCATTCCAAGCTTTGTTCAATGATGATACGTGATGTTGCGATTCGATCGATCCATGACTTGTTCCTCCTGAATCCAGCCTGTTCCAGTCTACGTTTTTCATCCAGGGCTTGTTTGATTCTCTCCAGGATGATGCGGCTTAGTAGTTCGCTAGGGATAGACAGGAGCATAATGCCGCGCCAGTACGATGTATGTGTAATGTCACATAAACTGGAAGATTTACTGGCGAAGGCTGAGAAATGGGCAGAAGAAGCAGCCAACAGAGACAGGACTTGAAGTGAAGCATAGAGATGACGTAGGTAATGAAGATAGTTAACCAACCAACCAATAACCACAACAAGAACCAATCACTATCCATAGCAGAAATTTCAAACAGGTCACTTCCTTCACTTATCTAGGAAACATTGTTTAAACTACAGGCGATGGTAAGGATTAGGATTTCAAAAACCAGTCAGGATCGAAAATGCAAGACAGACCTTCATCATTCTGAAATCAATTTGAAAATCTGCTGCACTGACGATACATAACAAAATTCGGACTTTCAACACTAATGTCACGTCAGAGACTGAGCATGTGGCCAAAAGCATTTCGAACGGGCCACTGCAGACTTTTGTCAACAGCTGCCTTCGCTGGCTCCATACTGGCGACCAGATGGTCAGCCAGAAAGGAAGAACAAAAAGAAACTCAAGGTACAAGCCGATCAAAAACCTTTTGCTCAACAAATGAGCCGAAGAAAATGAAGATAGATTGGATACACGTTGAGGAGACGGTTGGGTGACATCGTGCCTCAGGCAATTCCTCGAGTGGGAACGACGAGTTGGACATGGTTCCGGGGTGGTTACATGGTCGACATCGTATGAAGAAGAGATGAGAGCCTATGTTCAGTCGTGGGACCAGCTAAAGAGAAATGTAAAGAACAGTGTGAAATGGAGCCGTATGTTCACTTGGAACACAAGGGAGCAGCAATAATAATGATATACTTCAATATTCCCTCCTGGAAGTCTCAGTATCAAACTATGTAACGCCTACATAATGAAGTGAAGTGGTTACATAAATGTTTATTTCAAATACATTATTGGATTATAGATGATTTGGTTTATTTCTAGTCACGTCATTGCAGTGACCTTGATGTGTCACTCCGATATGTTACTTTTGTTATTGATTGCTGTCAAACTATTTATTTTTCTACTTGATTGCGTGCTTAATTTCTGTTTAGTAATGCGTGTGTACTGGGTTTTTGTTGATGACTGTTGGTAGAATGCTTTGAAATTAGGTCTCATGATTATTATTGGCGTTAATCAGCAAGGCGTATCCCTTGCAACGTTGAAGTAACTAACTGACACTCTTTTGGAGATACCTAAACCAACGTGTCACTCAGTAGTAGTAGTGGTTGGCTTCGTGGAATTTTGTCTCATCGTGTTCTTGTCTGTAATCATCCTAGTGTTGAATTTGTTTTACGGATTTATTCCTGTGAAGAAATTTCCTGGCTTTAAGATGACTGTGTTGTTTAATTTGTGTGTCTTCATGCAATAGGTTTTGGATGATATTTTACTTCGCTTGGATCATATGCAAAAATGGTTGAATGAAATATCTATGTATCTGACTACATTCGACAATGAACGTGCTCGTTTAGAGTTGAAGGTTAGTTGTCCTTTGGTTACTCTCACATTATGTGTTGATTTCATTTTTATTTTTTACACAATTCTAACAGTTTATCTAGTTAGCTTTGTAATTATATTCTTGGTGTGTGGATGTTTTAGCATTTATTTAGCTGTTTACTGTTTCGGTGTGTGTGTGTTGGTAAATTGTAGGTTAGAATATTGTGAAGAAGTTTGCTTTATGTGGTAATTATTGCCTGTGTCTTCTCTGTCTTATAAGATATCAAAGCTACAAATGAAGGTGTTTCTTTCGTAGAAGTAAACGACTTTGACTAGATATTTTACTGGTTGCAGCTTGTTGCATGTTTTCTGTAAATCATTCGTTTAGGTGCTCTCTGACTTCGAACCAGTGCCACCTGCCGAGGCTTTGGCAGAAGCCAGATGATGTCACCAACCCTTACAAGTTATGTGGGAGTTTTTCAAACGCATGGAAATACAAGTGGTTGCTTGTGTGGCACTGCATTTATTTTCCTTATAACATCTTGAAATATTGTCATGCTGGTAAGAACATTAACTTCCAGTTTGATGACGACGAGATGATATGAGTTAGAGAACCATTGGAAGATGAGGAAGTGCTAGACAGCTGTCTCATCCTAGTTGGAAACTCTTTGACACTGTCCAGACAGAGAGGTAACACACAAAATAAACGCCAGAGAATTCCTAGGGACCTAACTATTGAATAAATTTGCGTTGGATAACTGTGTTGTCGATCAGTCAACAACAGGTCACACGACCAAAAGGTCAAATATCAGATTCATACAAGTGAATACAGTCATATGGAAATCTACGGGAAGAACAAGTCACAGTGAAGGCTACCAGGGGAGAGATAAATATTATAACATCTGTGGGGAATTCTGACAGCTCCCTTCATATTCACAGTTCATGATATTATACTAGGTATTTACTAATCACATCCTTAAACACTGAAATTGCATACCAAGATCTTAATGCAATTTCTTGCTTTATCCTTTTTTTCATAAGTGAATAAATTTACTCAGTGCCTACAGCCAAGATTCTTGTTGCATAGAGTTTCAGGTGCAGGTTTGGTGTCAAAATTGAATTTTGACCAAAACTAGGACAAGCTTAATTCACTCTCTAAAGTTATATCACTGTCATTTCTAGTTAGCTGCGGATTGACCGCCGAAAATGGCCTCAAGTATGAAAGAATAAAAAAAATAGGGAGGGCATTTCAAATATTAAAACTACACCACAGATGTTAGTTGAGTTATTCTGAACCTAGAGTATCGAGGGAGAGAAAGAGAGAGGTAGTGGACTTCGGAAATTCTAGCTTAAATCATTGTCAACTTACATACATTACAAAGTAGGGAGGTGTATGCAGAAATAACTAATACCAGTTTAATAAGTTATCTAAAAATCAAAAAAGAAATCGAAAGGTGTCAGTTGCCCAGATCGGGAAAGACCCTGAACCTACCGCTGCTGCTGGAAAACTAATCACTGCCCCAGAATACTATGTGCGGTAACCGACCCCAAAAATATCAGGGAAAACAGGATTGTTTATTTCCCTATCGAAAATGCATGAACCAGGACCACAGCACAAAGTCTATGAGAAAATGTTCGGCATAAATCACAATAAACAACTTCTAATCGTTTTTCTTCAGTCTTCTGTCAAAGATCATGCTTTTAAGCATGGCTGCCATTGTCGCCTCCCGTGAAAATGATGAAGATCCTTTCGAATAAACAAACAATATGTGGTTGCTCATTCAGTGTTCATCAACATTTACAGAAGCCTTCATTTTCTTTCTTCACATCGAGGTTAACGTTGACGATTTTGTCTACAAGGTCGCGAATCGCTTCACAATTATAAACAATCCAGTTCAGGAAACATAACAGCATGAAAATACTTAAATCGCTTAAATTTTGGTTTATTATAAATTTGGGCCAGTATAATAAGAAATGTGTTTCACTGACGTATGTTTTGAAAGTTTTCCAAATTCGCTCTACAGCACAAACTTCAATGTGGAAGTCGACTAATTTTTTCGGATGACTGACTGACTTCATTGTAGATAAAATTTTATTCTGATGAAATCACACAGTGACGTTTCGAGCTCAATTTATATTACTGCTCACAATTATATCAAGGTAGTCACATAACTTTCTTGCTTCATTTATATACATGAGTAAAAATTGATTAGACATGAGACGCGCTCCTTTACCTCACTAAGCCAGTAATAAGATTAGCAAAGAGGGAAGGTTGCAAAATAAATAACTTGTTAGAATGTTATAATGTGAACTGAATTACATTGTGACATTATGTATTATCCTTTGATCTGACTGCTAATATCTTCCATATCTCTGGTATTTGCATTGATTCACTTGTGTTGCGTATTTTGGGTGTAGACTCGATGAACCAGGATTCAGTAATCAATCTCTCTCTCTATCCACCTAACTATATTTCTTTTTAGAATTTCGTCTCTGTTCCACCCCACCCTTTTGTGTAGTTGTGTGTTAATGTATGCACCGCTATTGGTGTTTTTTTCTAAATTACTCATCTTCGTGGGACCAATCATTCTAACCTTAGCTAAATTCTTATGTTCTGATAATCTCACTACTCCTGATCTACTAGTTTGACCTATGTAGTTGACTTAACTCACAGTAAATTATATTATTTTGTTTAATTGGGTCAACCGACACTGTCCTTTAACCTACAGAGATTGTTTCAACATAGGACTCTTCGCATGGAAGTGCAACAGTTCGAGTCTAATTTTCCTCTTTCTCTCTCTGTGTGTGTCCCTTTTGTCTACCTATCTGTTGTACTACCCGGAGTGTGGGCTAACTTGAACTTCTGCACTTTTGTTCGATGTCCTCTGCTGACAACTGGGTCATTCAGTCACTTTTTCTTCTACCTCTTAAGTGTCATACATTGTAAAATCACATTTGTATACATAAGTTAACATAGATAAAAATTATTATCTAATTCCATATACTAACGAAAGAGATTGGAGGTGATTTTGTTTTTCAACTTAATATATAGGTTTGTAGGTGTGAATGTGAATACAGATAACAAGAAGCTAAAAAACGAATTGGATGGGATTAGAAAATTATTATTATTCCCTTTAATTCCTAGAGGAACATAGGGCTTCAGCTATGCGTCTCCATTGCGTTCGGTTCTCTGCTAGAGTCTTCACCTGGCTTCAAATCTGCCCACACGTTTCCATCTCCTCTTCACATGACCTCCTCCATGTCACCCTTGCACTGACCACCAACTCACCGCTTCTCATTCGGGTTCCACTCGACCAATGGCCTGGCGTGTGATGTCACTTTTTTGATGGTTTTCTCAGAGTATGACCAATCCATCTCCATTTCTTCCTGCCTATTTGTTTCACAATCGGTTCTTGGTTGGTTCGTTCCTAGAGATCTCTGTTGCTGATCTTTTCTGGCCATCTGATCTTGAGTATTGAGCGAAGACAACTGTTGATGAAGGTCTGTAGTTTGTTTGAGATGCTCTTTATGACGCGCTGGCCAAGTCTCTGATCCGTATAGTAGCACTGACTTCACATTGGAGTTGAAAATCCGGATCTTATTCTCATATCATGCTGAGTGCTGTTGACCTCCACACAGACTTGAGAGTAGTGAAAGCTTGTCTTGGTTTTCCGACTCTTGCTTTGATATCCTCGTCAGTTCCGCCTGTAGTTGAAACGATGCTTCGAAGTTTTTCATCCAGGGCTTGTTCGATTCTCTCCAGGATTATAGATAGATATATAGATATATATATATTATAGATAGTGTTAAACAAGCACAGAGTGACAAATAGATAGTTGTAGGTATTATCCAACCACAAAGTTTATATCCAAAGGTTCAGTGTTTCAAAGGCAAATAATTGTAATAGTTTTTTGCTACTTTTTGGTAAGATATTCCACAAAAATAATGTAAATGTAACGTAGTAGTCGAAAAGCGCGTCAAGGTTAGCCGGGATTAGAAAATAGTTGCGTTATATGTAAAATAGTTTTTTTTTCTTAACGGAGATTAATGTGAACAACGGGATGAGCATGGAAACAAATTGAAATAATAGTTTTTTTTTCATAACTGAAGATGAAAAAACGATTGAAAGGAGTGAAAAAACAACACCAAAAAAGGCGAAAACTATGGAGTCGAACCGAACTAGATCCATGATAAACGTTGTAGAGGTTGGACTGGTTTGTTTTAAACCCATAACTCCAGCTTCTCGATGCATATAGTGTGAGGGCTTCTGCATTACAGAAAAGTCAAAAGTATACTGCTTTTAGTAGATAACTCTAAGCGATGAGTCAGTTGAGATGTTGTGACAGGTATTTGACGAGGTGTTCAGTTATGATATTTCTGATTGAACCAATGCCTCGGCATTGCAGCTCCTTGCTGGATAGTGTCCATCTAACATTTTTTGAAAGGACGCGCAAAAAACGACCTGTGTTGAGAACATTGTATCTAATCACCGAAAATACCCATTGAGTCATGAAGAAAATAAAAGACAAATCCAGCGAAGAAAATTTACTTTATCGACGAAATCATCTTCAGAAGCTGTACAGTCGTATTTATACTTACCAAAAAATATATAGTGGTCTATTATTGAGTAATAGGGAGTGACATAATTGATATAATCACTCGGAAGTGGCTTTAGAAGTGGAAGTTAAGAATTATAAATTACGTGGTACTCAACGGCACAAAGATAGAAATTTGATAAGGTTAAAATTGTTATTGAGTGAGAATAAAGGTAGTTGAGTGTCAATTTAACAAGTGTGAAGAGGGTGTGAATTAATTATTAAAGCGAAAGCAAACTGAAAGTAAAATTAAAAAAGGAAAAGTAAAAATCAAAATTTTTTTTACAGGGAACGACTAGTGAAGAGGTTAAGATCAAGGTAGAATAAGAGACTGGACAAACCTTTTCTGCATACAGGGTTCGGGGTTGTATTGACGAATTGCCAGTGCCTCAGCCATACATAAAAGCCGAAACCTGACGCCCTTTGTACCATTTGGCTTAACCTTGTAAATGATCTTGACAGACGACTCTGGTGGAGCTACGTGGCCTGAGTTCACCAAGTGCTCTAGAATTGAGCTAGTAATTTTCTTGCATTGTCCCTTTGCTAACCATGCTGGATAATGTTCAGAGATGCGTTTGGAAAGTGTGTGCTTTGTATCTATGTAAGCTTATGTATTTAAATGCAATTGTACAGCTGCTTTTGAGGATGAAATCACCGAAAAGTTACCTTTACTAAGCTTCTTGTTTTTTTGTTTTTTTTCTTTTCTGTATGACGTCTTGATGGGTATTTTTCTTTCCATACACTTTTTATTGTTTTCTTCCGCACTTTTTTAGAGTTTAAATGATCTCTTTCATGAGAAAAAGAACGAACTGTTACCCAGTAAAAAATTTGGTTTTTCACGTCAACAAAAAACTAACAAACAAGAAAATATGCCTAAAACTGAAAATGAAATGAAAACATCTACTCATGATCACGCATCTATGAAGTCTACTCCTACCACCACCACCACCACCACCACCACCACCACCACCACCACCACCACCACCACCACCACCACCACCACCACCACCACCACCACCACCGCTACTCTTGCTTCCAATGAATCCTCAATGTATGATCCACGTTACAGTTTAACGCATATTACTGGTTCTCAACACTGTGTTATCCCTTGCCCTGATAATTCTTCAACATCATCGCCATCATCAGATATATCAACTATTAATCAATCTGTTTATTTAGCTGATTTACTCGATTGTACAGTTAAAGTATGCAGTGTATTTGGCAGTTTAATTGGACGTCGATTAAAAAATTGTAAAATTTATTGTTATCCTATAGCTGGTTCTGTATGGCTTAATGATTGTATAAATTGTGATCTTGTATTTGCTTGTCGTCAGTTAAGAGTGCATAAAACATCACATTGTCGATTAGCTTTACATACATCTAGTCGACCTATTATTGAAGATTCTACAGACTTACAAGTTGCACCATATCAATATACATATGATACACTTGATAAAGATTTGCGTACAGCTGGTTTATCTAGTGATAATTGTGAAAGTAATTTATGGCGTGAAATTGAAGATTTCAGTTGTCCTAATAGACGATTAACAATTGGTTCTTCAAATTGGTGTATATTACCTGAGGCTGAATGGTCTTCATTACGTCCAAGTTAATGATGAACGAAAACAAAGGGAGGCGAAAGGAGCAGGGCTATTATTTGTTGCTTTTTGTTCAACAGAATACACTATTCAATCAGTGGTTTTATTCTTTCGCTCTTTCTCTCTCTCTCTCTCTAAATGACCATTTTAATTAATTCGTAATTGTAAATATAATTCACACACACACACACACATTCCGTTATAAAAAACACACACTATTGCTCTAATTTGTATGACAAGTTATGCTTTTTGTGGATGTGTTATTATCACCGTTGTATGTTTATTTTGCTGCAGTGCTTTGATTACTGGATAATAAAGTAGTTTCTCAGTAATTTCTCTTATCATACTTCATTGTATAGTATTCATCGTAAACTGTTTTTATTATTATTGACGATACTTGTATGTGGATGTATGGCTTATTGACTTATTAACACGCAACTTTCAAATCTGATCACAGATTGATATCAGTTAGATAACTATTGAAAACCTTTATGTACTAGAAAGCTGTTTGGTCCTAGTTTGGAACCTTCCGGTTATAAGGGTAGCTACTCGTAGACCATTCAACCATTGAAAACCGATACACTGGCCAGCATATGAATTCCAACTTACACCAATTCATGATTTTAGCGTGACGACCATCAGCCAATTTCATCGGTAAGTATTTGTTCGACGTAGTAGACTCCACCGGTAACAACTTCTTACTAGAAAAAGCTTCAGGCAACTTCACCCTGTAGATAATTACTAGCGAGACTCAAGTTTGGTCGTGGTTGGAATTCGTGTTCCATTGGGTTCGCCCCACCCATTAGCTGAATGGTTTACTTGCTTACCTTGTAACCCCGAAGGTCCTAGATTCGAAACCCAGTGGGTGTGTACTGGTGATGCGTGCCAAACACTAGGACGAAGCAGCTGTCCAGTACTCCCTAGTTCTCTAATTGATATCAATCGGAGCTCAAACTTGGAACAAATCAAATCCCTATGGACTAACTCTTGGAATCTTAACCTTCAGCCAATGGGTTCCGGAGTACGAATCCTACTCTAGCTATTTCAGTTGTGGGTAAATAAGTTCAAACACTTATGGTACAACTTGAGAAAATATAGTAAGGCTTTGTTTTATATCATAACAAAACTTACTGGTTCATTGGTAGTTTTCATTTTCGGAGCACGTACTCTTACCCTTATTATTATATTATTATTATTATTATTTCCTTTAGTTCCTAGAGGAACATAGGGCTTCAGCCATGCGTCTCCATTGCGTTCGGTTCTCTGCTAGAGTTTTCACCTGGCTCCAAGTCTGCCCACACGTTTTCATCTCCTCTTCACATGATCTCATCCAGGTCACCCTTGGACGACCAACACGTCGCTTCCCTTTCGGGTTCCACTCGAGCAATGGCTTGTCTAGTGATGTCACTTGCTGGTTTCCTCAGAGTGTGGCCAATCCATCTCCATTTCTTCCTGCCTATTTGTTTCACAATCGGTTCCTACTAGGTTGGTTCGCTCATTGCCAGAGATCTCTATTGCTGATCTTTTCTGGCTGACCATCTGATCTTGAGTATTGAGCGAAGACAACTGTTGGTGAAGGTCTGTAGTTTGTTCGAAGTGGCCTTCTTGACGCGCCAAGTCTCTGATCCGTATAGTAGCACTGACTTCACATTGGAGTTGAAAATCCCGATTTTATTTTTGACGCTGAATGATGTTGACCTCCACACAGACTTGAGAGTAATGAAAGCTTGCCTTGCTTTCCCGATCCTTGCTTTGATATCCTCGTCAGTTCCGCCTGTAGTTGAAACAATGCTTCCCAGGTAGGTAAAGGAGGTTGTTTCTTTCAGGTTCCTTCCATTTATGCTGATTGCTGTCAGTTGTTGTTGTTGCTGTTGGTGTTGCCCAGGAATTTTCATCACCTACGTTTTCTCTATGTTCACCTGAAGTCCTATCTTTGATGCTTCTTCGGCCAACTTGTTGCTTTTCACTTGCATATCTTCCAGTTTGTGGGAAATCAGGCATATATCATCGGCGAAGTCCAAATCCTCCAAGTACTCTTACCCTAGGTTATTAATTATATGCTATCACTTATTTAATTCAATTTTAGATTTCCCCGTCGATTGATTGCACCGAAGTGCTCGGTCTCAGGTTGACATGTCAACTTCTTGTGCAGATGGCCTCGAGTGGGAACATCATCACTCACTCACTGCGGAATGCAGACACACCCGGTGACGAGGCCCAAATAGGACGAAATACGCATCCTGGGTTCCACTGCTAGTCACCATCCACCAATTAACTTCTATGCTATCACTCTTTAGGTGATTGTCCTTACACATCATAGATTCGTATTTGAATGTTAGACATTGCAATCAGCTTCCTACTGATAACATAATAACCTAATTCATACATTTTAATCTCACTTCAATGATTAACTAATTGGTGGTGTTGTAAATCCAATTGCATTTAGCATCAGAAAGGACATGAGTTCCTTCAACTTTGCGGGTACACCTCGCTGACGAGTGCCAACTAGCACGAAACATAAGTCCAAGGCTTCCTGCCGATCGCCTCCAACTATCTACTATCAGCAATAATAATTATTATTCCGAAACAGTACTTATGATACACTGTGAAATTCTCAACATTTGGTATAATATTGCATCTAATTTACTCAACAACAAAAGGCAGCATTACATGATGCAGGTAATCAAAATTGATAATAGCAACTTTGTGTGGCATTAGCAGTAACAATTAAGTCAAAAATGTACAAAAAGTATAAACTGATAGTACTACGAAATGATATTAGGTGGTTGGAGGCAATCGGCAGGAAGCCTTGGACCTAGGTTTCGTGCTTGTTGGCACTCGTCATCAAGGCGTATCTGCAATCTTGAAGGAACTGATGTCCTTTCTGATATCGACAATTCACAGTGTACCTTGATGGAGAGCCACCTAGAATGCTTGCCACATTGCAAACTTGATCGATGGAATTCAGTCTGCAGTAAACACAACGACTAGACACATGACACTAGTTAGTGTCCAATCAAAAACTGTAGTCAAATAGAATATGTATACTAGAGGGGGGTAGAGGGGGAAACAACTGTCACAGCGATTCGATAAGTCGTGAAACTAGTATTAAAATATGCAAGTATAGCCCAGTATGACATTGATAATAAAGTTAGCATTACAAATAAAAGTGATATTTACGGGGAAGATGATCATTCTAGGTTTGGGTTGAAGGCCACGGGAAGGAGAAGGATTGAACAAACCGTGCGTGAACACAGAGATTGAGTTGCAAATTTTTTAAAGCAACTGCCTTAGCTACGCTTAGCAATCGAAGGCGTACAAACTTAGGGCTGGCACGTTGCATAGAATTGTAAAGGGTGAATCTTCTTATCAATTGCTCTGTATCCATCCAGAAGGTGTGACAGTATGGAACTCCTGATTGACTTTACGACTCGTTTACATTACTACTTTGGACAGTGCTCAAGAAGGCGACGATGGGTTTTCCCAGTCTGTCCACATGTGTAACTATCTCTCTCCAAAAGAACAATTAAATTTTAAAATCCATACTGTAGTGGCCATACTCAGTAGCTTATCCTTCACTTGCATTGGAATTATACAACGACTAGTGAATTTCCAACATAGTGTAGCGGGGAAAAGAACGTTTAATCTATTACTTTTCTGAATTTCGATGCTTGTTTGGAGGCTGAAGGTATCGACGTTTGCGAACTGTACGGAGTATACTAACGCAAGTTCTTATACCAACAACTTCTATAGTGTTCGCTCTTCGAGTACCAAAGACAAAGCAAAACACCAGATTTAGTCGTCCAAAGTACGTAATATATTTGGGACCAAGTCCAGGGTTGAAGTGAATGCTTAGCTTGCTAGTAATCGTGCACGCACGTGACACTACGGAGTACCAAATGGCGGGGATGCTTGACTGGAAGCCTTCAGCTAAACAAGTCGACTTAAACAGTGATGGTCAGCATCCAATGTTTAGTGATGATTGCTGTGGTCAATAATTTTTGGGGAATTATTTACCGCTACACTTGTAATTCAAGTGACTACGTCTCCTCTTAGTCTGCCTGATACTCGAGAAATCTGTTCTGCTTCAAGCTAAATGAATTCTCACAATACCTAACACTTTGTAACATCAATTAGACCGATTTTATCTCTCCCTTTTCTCATATCAAAAATTGGTACAGATATCTATTGCTGTTAATTTTAACAGCAATCTCTTCATCACACAGTATGTGTAGAAATGTGACGTGTGCTACTGGCAAGATTTATCAGTAGTATATGAAGGGACGTCCGTCGGCTCAAAAACATCAAGTAGCAGGGAGGTAGATTTGATGTCAGAGAAAGCAAATGATTCAGCATTGCAGAGAAACATCGTACACGTAAAAGGACCACGAAGAAACACAATAGGAATGGAGGCCAAAGGCAGCGCAACACGGAAGATCTGTGTGCAAATGGTGATTTGGAGATAAGGTGTACATAATTTGGCTACATAGAGATACAAAATTCCAAAGAAACATTCCTTTACCACGTCTCTGGTCTTCTACCATTACAGAAATATATTGATTTTTTTCTTTCTTGTTATCTAAACGCACTTCACAGCAAATGGGTGTGTTAGCATGAATTCATGCATAGAAGAGCATTATCTGTCGTTTAATATGTCAGAGTAGTAGACAGAGTTAGTATTAATTCAGGATATTAGAAACAAAAAACAGTGTGTGCATAGAAATTCTTTTTTGATGCAAAACTGTAGTTACTTAAGTCTATCTACCTAGACTATACCCACACATACATTCAGTACATGACAAAGAATAACTGTCCAAAAAAGTAATATAGTAGTAGTGTAAAGACAGAAGACAAGGGCCAGGCAACACATCGTTTATTGAAAAAATCAAGAGATATTTATAGATTTTTATGTATATTATTATTCGTTATTGTTAGCAGAGAAGCAACATCTTCTGATTGGTTTTTCTTGTTGAAGGTTATTCTGTACTGCTTGTGACCGTTTCTTAGAAAGTTAAGCTATATATCTGCGAATCGTATTTGCACACACTAAGTCCGCTGTGATTGGTTGTTGAGTTAGGTTTTGTTCTTTTCTCATGACCCCGAGTTGGGACGCAAATATTGACGTAAATTGTTGTTTACGATTATGGCTTGCAGACAGCTCTCACCACAGTAAAATTTATATATGTGTAAAACTTGGGTCCTTTGGAACGTCCTAAATTCGAACCGCGGTGAGTGCTTACTGCTGAAGAACCTCAAAACTAGAACGAAGTGGTTGTCCAGCAATAAATATTAGCAGAATAATAATATGTGTATTTAAGTAATATCATTGGTT